AGTAAACCTAAATCAAAGAATTTATTACTTAATGATAGCGATTCGAGAGTAAACTAAAAAGTACCATAACTTACCTAATGACAACATGGCTTGTTGACAAAAACAAGGATCGAATATTCAAAAAAGCGATTTTCTGCCAAAATTAAATTTTTTGTCAATTTGATAAGAAATTGGATATTTGTTACTTAAAAAAAGCTTACTCTGTTTAAATGGAAAGTGCTAGTCATAATTTTTACAACGATATTCTTCGACTAGAATACGATATTCAATTATAAAATTGAACAAATTATCTAAATACGAGTAAAAGTGCGAGATTTTAATCTTGAAAAACGAATTTTATAAATCTATAAGAGATGTTATCATGAATACCACGTTAATATGGTGGGTAAAGGAAAAAAGAGTGTACGGTGGCAAAAAATTCAGAAAACATTCTATCTTGAAAGCAGTGAGCAGTGGGAGAGTTTTGCTTATATTAATGTTGACCGTTTCAAAGAGTCATTATTGATGTATCTGTTTAAAATAGGTCTTATTGTGTTTTGAATTTTTATTCTATGGCTATACACTCCTCTGAATGTGTATCCTTATGAATACATTCTTTCAGCGCCTACTTCTATGCATTAAAAGAAGTATAATTGTATATATAGGTAATAACTATTGTACTAAAATCACACTCTGCTTAATGCATTCTCTTTGAAATTGGCACTAAAAATGCATTTAAAAGAGTACTCATTTAGAGGAATGTGAATGTATATATACACATGTATATACAATTAATTCTGGTTTAATTGATTACGTAAATCGATCGGTATGACGACCAAAATTTGGTGATCATTAATAATTTCACCAACTTATCTACAGTGTTTTGTTATAGCGACTAATCGTATCAAACAATCTATAGCCTGTTAAATTCGTTTCGTTGTGACGAATATTTGATGGTTGTTTCGTCTGAATCTGAGTGACACTTATCGAGGTATGGCGTTTAAAAGTTTGTTCCACGGATAAACGACCCCTGCAAAATCGGGGTTGCTTATAATCGGAATTGTATTTTAAAGTCACATTCGGTGAAAA